CCACTACGTGATATCAGCAATCGAGACGCAGTGAAATATTTGTCCAATTATCGGTATCGATTCTGGTACGTGTACGCACGACAATTCATACGAATTCGTGATAAACGATATAGCTGACGTCGCATTAAAAAGATTGATAGTAAGAGATCACCGCGGAATACTGAATTAAGTAGGTACTGATATCGAGATTATTGGCTCCGGTAAATTCATGTATGCAAGAAACTTTTGCTGATGTGGGACAAGCACGATAGAGCCACCGATTTTATTATGTGAATACTACATACATTCCTTCAAATATCGAACTCCCTCAGATTTATTGTATTTTCCCTTGCGCTGGTCTGTATGCACGTGTCTTCGAAAACGAGACTCTAACAAGACATCCAAACAACTGCCAATTTCATAATGTCAGATGAAATCAGATTTTTAAATAGACAAAAAACTTTATCACTGTATTAGAGATTCTGATTATTATATATCTATATTGTAAATTAGACTTTCTAGACTATTTATATCTATTTATTTAATCGAATATGAGCATGGGATTATTTCATTTAGACTTACATTGTGTAACATAATGATTAAATGATAATTCTAAGGATCATTGCTTATTACCTACAATTCAAAGCGTACATTATGGATTATTTTATAAGTGTATTTGATTGTTGTGCTGTTTCCATACTTAGAATTATTGTTTTACATTAAATTAACTCTCTGATAATTTCATAATTTAAATATTCAAAATTCAACATTTAAGTAGGTTTAAGACATAACAAATTATTGAAAATTTTAAGACGTACATTTTTGAAGTATAATATTTTTGTCTCTTGGAAATGATAAAATGAACACATTTGTACATGTATATTAAGGTGTTCGAAAATTAAATAATTAGCTCAAAAATTGACGATAAGAAACGTAGAAAGTGTCATTGCAAAATTTCTTTCTAGCAAATCCGTTTTAGTCGACTCAAAGTTCTTTCTACCTTGCGCATTTTGTTAAATTATTGCCAAGTGGATAATCAAAAGTAAACTGCCGGACATTATGCATTCATAGGACACAATCTACATAAAATGATATACAACTCTAGTAAAATTTTTATACAGTTTAATTTTATCCATAATCTACTCAAACCATTCAGGAAAGGAAGAAAATGTAAATTTAATTTCTTTGAACTTCTTTTGAGGAATGTAAATTTGTATTCACTTTCGTAGTCTAGGAGTAAATAAACTGCAAACCTTTATGCCATTTCACATTTTCGAAATATTCTTGAATTATGTCAAAGATGTTTGCAGTACTTTCAGAAGCACCGGAGCAAAGGAATTTGCAGAATGTTCGTTCCTGAAATTTCTGGTTGAAACGAATTTCGAGAGAGCCACGTAACAGTTGTAACACAGAATAACTCTCTTATTGTTCATTACAGTGCAACCTAATTCGAAAAAAGATTATTTTCAATGTGAACTTAATAAAATAAAAACGTTATTATCTACACTTGTAACCAAAATTTAAATATCTTGGCAACATATGTATATTTGAATTGAAACAATAATTTTATTTCCAATATATGATAATTTACCAATATAGAATAAATACTTTTTCTCCATACTTGTCAAAGATAATTAATGTATTTTACAAAAATGTAAGTATTAAAGTCAACTTTTTCCTAGTTTTACTGTCCTTCAGAAAGAAAAATGGACCGAGTAGTCAAAATGAAATTTAAAAATTCCAAAAGCAGTGAATATAAATGGACAGGCATTTGGAAAAGCATGTCCGATTTTCGAAACGTGAAAGAACGTCCGTGGCAGAAATTAACATTTCACGTATAGCGACGATGTATTGGAGTTCTATTCTTTTTGCGGTGACTGACTGCTCATAACGCGGTCGCATATTTCATAACGAAAACAAGCCCGAGGACGTCGACGGCGACGGCGTCGTGACGCAGAAAAATGAGAATGGAGGAGTCGTTAGCATGAAACAGAGGAGATCATTTCCGGTTGCGCTCCATCTCGTTCACGAAGAATATTCCAATAATGAGTATTCGCGACTGTAATGCTTGCGGCCGATCTTATAAATATTTTAATGCGCGCGTCACGAGTTAATTTTCTTCGCTTGCTAATTTATTTTCAGCAAAGAACAATTTCTATTATCAACGCGGCACACCTGTTTTTCAAACAAATAGTAAGATAAGATGTATGAAAGTAAGAATGGAACTCTAATGAACTTAAACTCAAATCATCAAAGCACCATATTTTAAAACTTTTTGAAGTAGGTAGTATTGGAAATCTGATAATTGTAATTATAAATAATACCTGTATCCACTATGTGTATAGAGAATCCATTCATTTTCATCGTCTCAAATATTTGCATGATATTTGGTAATGTAAAACAAGATAGAAATAATATAACAATATAATAATGTAGTAATATAATAATATAATAATATAATAATATAATAATTTAATAATTTAATGATATAATGATATAATGATATAATGATATAATGATATAATGATATAATGATATAATGATATAATGATATAATGATATAATGATACAATGATACAATGATACAATGATACAATGATACAATGATACAATGATACAATGATACAATGATACAATGATACAATGATATAATAATTTAATAATTTAATAATTTAATAATTATAGAATTTTGATAAAAATTTTTAACTGATTTATATCCTTATAAAAATTGTTGAGCCAAGTTTATACTTTTAGAGATATCAAGATTTTTGTTTCTTGGTATATGAAAATATTTACTTACATTTAAAAAATGTGACAATAGTTATTAAATTTCTCACCTCAAATCGTACAAATTTTATTTACAATTCTATTTTCAGTGATCGAAATAAATGAGACATACAAAATTTTGATTAAAAGCAATCCTTTAAAACGCGTGTTTCTTAAAAATCTTCAAATCAAGTTACTGATTAGCAATAATTTCTGAAGGAATGAAATTTCCGCTCGAGCTAATTACTTACATTTAGAATGAATTTATCGTTGCAGAAAATCTGCAATTAAAAGAACAGAAATTAAAACGGAAAGTATGCTAATTAACGGACGCATGTGACATATTAATTCCTGCTATGCTTGAGAAATTACAAGCACTCGATCAGAAGGGCTTTCTTCCGGTTAAATGTTGACCGTCGAACTCGTGTTTGCTTCTTTCTAATCGATTACCCACGTCGATTGGCTTGGTCGACCATCTGCACCTAAATTCGAGATGAAATTGTGCCTCTATCGGTGTTTATAACCGTACATAAAACCGTGATAACACATCAATCGGAAACTCAAGAGTCATTGATTTTAATAACGTAACGAAAGCTTCTAGAAAGCAACGATATAAAAACAAGTAACAGAGACTTTAATTTTATTTGATAAAAATCGTATCGTCCATTTGTACAAGTTTAATGCTGTTCCTTTAAAGTTCGCAAACAATTTCGAAATATCCATCGGTTTTCGATCTCTGCGTCAAAATATTTTTAAGTAGGTGAAGATTCAATAAAATAACGATTTTGTAAAAGTGTAAGAAATATTATTAAATCTTAGTATACATTATTCCAACAACTTTAAACATATTCTTTTTGCATAATATTTTCAAAATGACTTATTTCTATGTTTATATTCGATGTTAATTATTTAATATTTGAGATAAAATTAGCTTCATATTAGCCACGGTCTTTTTCTTTTAAAAATAACGTAAAGAATTTTTAAAAAATTTCAAACACCATTTTCCAGATCCTAATTTATTCAATGAATTATGAATGAATTAATTTATTTTATGAATTATGAATGAATTAATTTATTTCATGAATTATTACTAAATCTTTATATTTTCGAATAAGAATAATTATTATTGAATGGTAAAAGCTATTTCAGTGTAACTGTCTAACTACATTCACCGTTGTTAAGTGCATCTAACCCTTTAATTTGTGAAATAGTAGCAGTCAGTGTAATGGTAAAGTTATACGTTTATTGAATTACTCGGAATGTCTCCAGTGACACCAAATCGGATACTAATTCGAGTCCCAGGTGAAAGGATATCCGACTGTAAATCTGTATACAGTTTCTAATGCACCACACATTAAATCATCTAGAGATTGATATTGATATGATTAGTACCGTTAACGCATATACGATATGTAATAAACATGTAACTTTTATAAAAAGCTTTGCATTTTTCAGATTTGGAAGCTTCACTTACACTTAAATTGCACGTAAATACAATTCTGTCACATTGTTGCTATTAAAGACAAGACCAAAGAATTGTTTTCATCAAATCATAATGTTTTTAATATTGATATACTTAACATACAAAATATTAAAATATGAAATTGTTTAAAAATGTATTTAAAAAATACACAGTTTTACCATTTAGAATATTTTGTTTAGCCCTAGTAGTTTCCGAAATACCTGACCGAATATTTATCACCTCAACATTGAGGGTAGTTTATACCTTATTGATATAAATGATGACCAATAAAAAAATAAAAACTAAATAGATTTGTAACAACTATTTTCTATTAGAACTTTATAAGAGTCTAATTTATTACCTAATATTAAACATGATTAATGAAATCTAACGTTAATAAATTAATGCAACAATGTCTATTACTACTCAAAACAAACAAAACTATTTGATATTCTACCGTCACTGTATACTCCATTAATAATGCGCGTGTAAATTATAAATTTTGCATGATCCCTTACGGGACTAAGAAAACTTCGTACCACGATTATATTCCAAAAGAGCAAAGTTTCGTATTTGGCATAGTGCTGGAACCCGTAAAGCGTAGTCCAGTCACGCGAGAGAGTTGGAAAGTCCGAATCGATGGGGTATAACACGTCGATGTCGTTCAGTTTCCGGTGAAAAAAGCGAAGAATGTTTTCTTTTTCAAACAACACGAACTGTTTCTACCGGTTGATAATACGAGTATGTTTTTAAACTTGGTATCAGTGACTCAATTAACGTAATTATAGGGAGGATGGATCCACGACACCGATATCTCGCGGAAGAATTAGAAAAGAAGGAATCAGAAGTTTCCCAATTGCATAGTCACCTCCACGAAACGAGAGCCAAGTTCATCCAACTGGAACAAGCTTTTAAAACGAACTTGCAGCTACAAACCAGACGGGAAGCTGAGTTTGATCATTTGAAAAATGAATTTCAAGGTAATTGTCGACGATTATTTGTTTTGGTGGAGTACTTTTGTTTTGTTTTTTTTAACTTACAATTTAGATTTTGTTTTTTCGTTTGAATATTAGTCTCAAATATGTATCATATGTTACTCTTTCGTTCTTCTAGTTCTATGACCAAATTGTTACTTCGTTTATTTGAATTCATTATTTATTATTTAATCTAAAACAAACTTCACACGCGAAACTGAAGTGAAGTTAGTAGGCTAAACATTTTGTAAGAACCGACTCTTGGCAATAGCGCGGCGTACTCTTCTGTCGAAAACTGACGGAATACGTATCACAGTACGCAACGAGGAAGAAATTTAAAAGAAAAAAATATTCTGTTCACGTCTCTTCCTCGTATAGATTTTATATTTAAAATTTTGGATAACTTGGAATTACGCAGACAAGTATATTGCAACTGTATCCGTGTAGTATAGAATTTTACTTGTTCTAATTCTGTTATTGCGGGAGGTTCGATATTATACCACGAACGGTATAATTGACTTATCCTTATTAGAAGACTGAAAGTACGTAAGACGAAAAGTTTGACTTTTAACTAACAACTGCTTTATTCGTTCTCTGGAGGGTCTTTTTATACATAAATTTTTGAAGAAAGTGAGGATCGTATCTCTACTGAGAAAAAGAGAATTGCATCTCTACTGAGAAAAGGGCATTGCATCTTATCTCGACTGACAAAGAGTGTCACATACACAGCGTTCAGAAATTGGAAATTGGATTCCCAAAATCGGCGAGGCGTGCTCGTTTATCGAGAACCAACAGGACATGTGTGATCCCTTCCAAACAAAGTGCAGGTGTTAAGATCGATTCCCGAAATCGTCGCGGCATAGTCCTGTTGTCGGGAGACGACGCGATGCACAGCGTTAAAAAAGTAGAACGCACGTGCAGATTTTCTTCAGGGTTGAGCGCAAGGGAATTTAAAAGGGGAAACATTTCTGAATCGGGAACACATTTGAAGTCGATCGTTAGTTGCCTTCGGTCCGAAACCAACACGGTCATTTTCTTCAACAAGTTGACCGTCACGGTGGTCATCTATGATCGGAGCTTCTAAATTACTTAGAAACAATTACAAACAGAAAACTAATGTCGTATCAAAATATTTAGTTACATAGGTAGCTAAATAATAGCGTAACTTAAGAGCTAATACCACTTGCGTTTATTATGGTATAATAATTAATGTTATACGAAACGCTCTAAATTCTCGTGGCGACCAACGTGTTAATAAACTGAATAATTATCACGCAAGTGTATCTTTGTTCGAGAAACCATCCTGACTCTTCCGACCTTCCCTTACAATTTCAGAAATCTTATTTCTTCACAGTGTATTTGGTAATTTAATAACATTCCATTTCACGATATCAATATAATTGCTACGGCATCCTTTGTTACACTACTCTTATTAACTGTCATTCGAGTGCTTGTTTTCTGTTATCTTCTACAAAATTATGTAATTAGTATATACATCATTTTAACTTTTGTTTGTTAATTTTACGTCTAGGTTGTGGATGGTTACACTTTTCATCTTCCCGCGAAAATGTTAGGTACTTGAACTGAATAAAACTTTATTTCCTGGGTTACCAGTCTCAATAAGTTCAGAATAAGATGCAACTTCATGAAATTTTGTTAATGCTCCCGCCTTATTCTTTTAGAAGAACTTTTTTAAGCGACAAGGATATCCACTTAACTCTGAATCCACAGAAGCGGGAGCAAACACCGACAGCAAAAGCTTGACACGTGACTATAGATAGCATCACATTCGCAGATCGTCATCTCTCTCACACTCATCGAACCATAGAGACAAGGTTTGTTGATAGACTTCGAATGAAATTTGTCAACATTAACTTAGTCCATGTTGGTATCCAATTCATGGAGTGTTTAGACTCATTTTCATTAACACGTTGATTGCTGCACAGTTTCATAGAGCAAAATATACCAAATGGAAAAAAGTATAATATTCAATCCTTTGATTAAATTGCATTATTATTACTACAGGTTCATCTAACTGAATATAACTGCGTTAAGTAGCATTGTTTATAATATAGAAATGTTTTTAAATAATCATCGTTTTACAAACTATTCTTATTATTATATATCATTATTTATATAGCATTAAAAATTATTATATATAAAATGATAAAAATTCAATTATTAAACAATGTCATTAATAAACAAAAGGTGAAAACGTATATTTTCATTGTTAGTAAAACGGTTTTTTTAATTTTTAATTCTAACGAAATATTAACATTATACGCAACTTACATAAAGAAACATCTTGCAGAAATTACGGGGTAGAATTCTTTTATTTCTGTTTCATATGTTAATACTTTATTCAACATTTTATGTTGAATTTTTTATTTTACAATTTTGCTGCGTTAAATGAAGTGGCGACTGAGAGTCGCCTCTCGAGTACAAAGGGTTAAGACAAAATTATTCAGTTTTAAACAATATTATTTTTAATATAATATACAATAGGTATTAATAAAATTGTACCACTCTAGATACGCATGTGTAATGTAAATTTGTTTAAAATCAAAATGTTCTATTATTATATAGTGTTTCGTATATGTCACATTATTGCTATTTGCACGTGTTCATGCTCAAGTTTCAGTGGGAGGTCAAATACAGAATAATCTGCAATCGATAGTTCGATGGAGAAGTGTGTGAATCTACATGGAAATGTAAGTCGAAAATATGGAATTAAACTTTCGTTTGAAACTTTATTCACGAGAAAATGAAATGTACATATTTTGCCAATACACATGAATATAATTAGTTTTTGTAATATAATTTTGTAATATAATCAGGTTACCTTGTTTGATATGTATAACATTTTAATGAAGTAATTAAATTATTGGTTCATTATGGACTCTACGAAATTGTCCGTAAAAATCTATGATTACCTACATAAACATTCGTATTATAATTGTAAATTGTACATGGTGTCTTGTAACTTGTATTTCAATCAGGACAAATGTGACTCTGAGCAAAAATATATATCGAGAACATATTATAAAATCGATATGTTATAAATCATATTTTCGAAAATATTTGCTTGGAACATATTTTGCCGGCAGGCAACAAAATACTGATGAACTGTATAAATTTGCAAATTAAATTTTTTTGAAAACGTCGCATCAAGTGCAAATATTTTATTCTACACGTTTCATTTATTGTTTCATCTGGAATACATGTTTTGGTCCACTATACCACGCGCATCTAGCGAAATGCATACATATTTCAAAAAATTTTAATTTTAATTTTCTTAAAAGAAAATCTCACATAAAGAAATTTTGTTATATATTTTTAACTTATTTTCTCATATTCTCATACACCATTTTTTTTTAAATCACAATTCGTAAACCAGTTTGTACATTTAACAGTTTATCATCTCTTTTAAATAAAACTGATGTTAATCGAGTTGTTGAAAATTAAACTGTTTTTGTTATACGCAAAATTGTTTCAGTCATCAGTAAATACTATTTAATACAAATACTCAGATTACTTTAACACGTTAAATGCCGTGTCAGTCACTGATAACGTTTCTAAATTGCTTGAAAACGATAATAATATGTAAGTTGACTGAAGTAATTCTTCTTCGTTTTGCTTCAGTATTTTATTAGAATATATTATAAATGTACAATTGTTTGACTAGTGTACAATTCATAATTCGTTTGTATTGTGACCACAATGAGAGATTTTTAAACCAAATTCCACAGTTAAAACATTGGGTACCAGCAAATTTTCAGAAAACTGAATTGTGCGGATGACGATTTTCAATGAGATCAATTAATATCACAATATATTGAAAAATTAAAATATTATATTGTTATGTAATATATTTTAAGTAGACAATCAGTTCTAATGAAATTCAATATTTTTTTTAATGCTGTGGTAATTAGTAAAGTTACATAGTTAAGTGTCTTTACATAAAAACGAGATTTCTCATTGCCAGTATGCAATTTGTTAACAGCTTAATAATTGTCCTCGCATATCTTTACTACAAAAGAATAAGTGTGACGTAAAATGACGAACATCCTAAATTATTTCTTGTAATAAAATTAAAACATATTATAATCAAACGTACAAGAATGTATGTTCAACCGCTTGAAAAAAAAAATGTCAATCGGTGATTCATTTGTTAGCAAGCTAATAATACGATCATATAAGCAGTTACTTATAAGGATGATTGAAACAATTGAAAAATTATAACAACGAATCTGCTTTCCGCATCGGTTGAATACAGAAAGGAAAAACATAGAATCGTCGTGCATTTGCGAACCGAAGCATTCTTTATCCGACCCGCCCTCTTTTTTCTCTCGTTAGTTCCCGGTAAATAATAGACCACTTCAGAGAATTTGCATCAAGTCACATCGTTCGAACAGGAGGAACCTTACGGAAGTTCCGCTCTACTTGTTAACGCTAAACAGGTGCACGCTTACACGATACGTCCTCAAATTATCCCGATCGAGTTACTTGGATTATTAACAAGAGATCTGTTTTCTCCATGAGTAGAGAAATTCCGTACACCGGCACGTTGTGAATTCTTAATACACTTAAATGAACATATCGTATTCATCGAGAATAATTAAATGAAATTATAAAATTAAATGAAATGCCCATATTGGAAAAAGTAAAAGACATCAAGGTGTACGTAATACACTTATACGATCGTTAATGTGTGCCTTGAAAAATTAACACCGTGTTAATAATTAATTTCAAACAAAATTCGTTCAAATCATCAATCTTAAAGCCTATTATAAAATCTTTTATTATTTTTTTTATTACTGTGATTACTGTACATATATTACTGTATAATAATTTTTCTTGAATATACTACTTTTTCCATCGGAACCTTTTTTTTAATACTGTTATAATAGTTTTCCTTGACTTCAAAAATTGTATTTAGGGTATTCGTTACATCTTGAACGTATAGAATTTAGATAATATGTCCCTTGATATATAATACGTACTAGAACATATATGAGCAAAAATTACTCTACTTCGATCCCTGAATTGTGAATTTCCACAACTTTATAACAAGAACTTCGAAGTTGTTAGTGATTGTTTCATTTCCGAAATCTCGAGGTCACCAGCTTTCTGACTTTCTCTGTTCGCGAAAAGATGTTTGCGAAGTTCGATTAGAAAAAGAAGAAAGGAAAGGGATGAAAGTTCGATCGCGAGCGATTCTCAAAACTTCTTTCATTGTAATTTACGATGAAATTCGCGTGGCGAATGAAAATGTACACGGTGGGAAACACGAAACAAAAGATTTTCAGTGTTCGCGAGTTGGTTGAAAGGTTGACTCATTCTGACAGGAGTGTATTTTTTTAATACTAAAAAAGGTAATACATTATTCTTAAAATTAAGTAAACGTATCAAATGCTCCACTGCTATATTATTTTGAACAAAAAAATATTCGGAAAAACAATGTCGCCACCCTAGCTAGCAACTAAACATATCATTGGCAGGCAACTTGTTAACATATTCCCCACGGTACATACATCGTACAATGCATATATACACTTTTTTAATTCGCATTTATAAAGTATTGTTAAATATTATTATATATAGTACAATAAAATATATAATCAATAATTCATTTTGACTTTCATTTTCTTTATTTCTATGAGACATTTTTCTGTTTCTTTATAATTAGGGTCTATTTTGTACAATAATTAAGAAATTGTAATCGCATAAATTGAAATGGGGACTTCCAAATAGTAAACTGTTGAACAACAATAAAATATTATACTTTATAAGGTATGATACATGATCGACACAGATCTACCGATGTAATGACAATACTGACCGATTGTTTTTTACTCTTTCAGAATTTCGACATACAATTATTTCGCCTAATCATTTGTCATAAAAATACGCAAGACTTCGTTGCTTTGGTAACATAACAAGAAAATCAATTTATTTTTAATTTCTTGAGTCGTGAAGTATGAACAAACATTAAAACGAGATATCTCCTAACTCGACCACAAAGTTTGATTTGCTATATACGAGATATCTCGTGACCCATACGCAATGTGTTAATGGGATGTCTTGTGGTAGAAGAAAGTGAAATTCGATGAAACTGATACTAGACTAATTCTTTTAGAGCTTCGGAAGCTTAACGCTGACACGTTACAAGCAAGAGCAGAATTAAGCTCCAGACTAATGAATACGGTAATTGAAAGGGATCATTGGAAAAACACCTTCCTACAACAAAGAGAATTTGTCATGAGGTATGTCGAACGTAGTTACTGTTAAGTTTTGCCATTCTTTTGTTTTCGTATTTTTCTAGGCTCCAGAATATTTTATCAATCAAAAAACACTTATACGAACAGTACGCAAATATAAATATTTGCAGTAATTCTATACGTTGAGTCGTACGAAAGCTCGTGATGTGATATTGTGTTAAATCTCGTCGAGTCTTTACACTATTGTTTATGAATTCAATCGCGCAACAGTCCTTTTATATACTTTGTAAACAAAATGCGCTTAGGGCGATGTAGTGTAGAAACAATCTAAAAAATATTTAGAAGCTGACTAGATGGTATAATGGTATGGAATTACAGAGAAAAACGAAAGATATAACGTGTTTGTATCAATTAATACACCACAAAAAATACAAACATACAACACGAGTGTAACACGTTATGCTATGCAAATAGGTTAGATGCTAATTGTACGAAAGTATTAAGGTAAAGATACTAATATTTAACCTGGTATAAGTACCGACGTTGACCGTTTTTCAGGAAAATATAAACAATGAGATTTTTAAAAGTAATAATCTTTCAATAAAAGCGCGATAGATATGCTGCAGCATCTACGAACCCAACTCCAAAACACTTTTACCTGAATTAAATTGTCTATCGCAAAAATTTACAATTTATTTCATTGGCTTTGCTTGCATGCCTCCGCACTGTAATTTCCTTAACGTTGTCGTTAAGAAACGGTGTATAATTCATGGTAAGAAATTAACTTCTTTTCATTTGTATTTGTCCTTTTACTTGTAATTTATCAGAATCGTTGCAAATAAACGATATTAAAGTAATCACCTTTAATGTTTTTGGTTTTACTATAAGTAGTCAATTACAGACTAACACATAATCAATTATTTGTTTCCTCGTTCTAAAGGATAGTCAACTTCCGACGCAACTGTTAAATTTTCAAAAATGTTTATCAAATTTGGATAATATAACTATTTCAAAAAAGTTCGCTTTGTTACATAATTTAAGAAATTCAAACGCCATTTTTACGTATAAAGTCTCTCTATTTAATAAAGGAGCAAGAACTGTTTTTTAACTTTTGCTCTTGTTAACTTTTTTGAACTTCCAATACTATGACTGACGAAAATGTGGTGTAAAAATTTTGCTGGCCCTAATTTTTTGGTCAGAAACTGTATATATTTGAGGAAGTGCAGTTGAAAAAATTTGTCGATTTACAGTGGCTACGAGGAGCCGTGACAACGTTTCCTTTTAACTGCGTTAAGCTTCAACACTATAAAAACTAAATTTATCAATATTATGTAGTAAAAAGAAAAGTAGCTGTTTATCAGGTAAAAATTTTCTGTTATTTATGATTATTTTTCATTGATTTGCCTCTTCATTTACACTTTCAAAATTTAAACAATTTGTTTTTTAGTAAACAACAATATTCATGGATTCTCTAATGACACTGATCTAAATCGAATGGGTCTTATGCATCTCCTTAGTCCTTATCACTATCAATTTTACGTCCCTCTATTTCCTCTTCAGTTTACAAGGAATAAGATGAATTAACATTCAAGACATGTGTTGATATAGACGCATTCAGTTCGTGTAGTCATCGATCTCGATTCACATTAATCTCGATTAAGCCATGGATCTAATGTAGATTTACCTTCAAAGTCGTAAAAGGAGAGACGACCCGATGGGAACGATGTTGGACAGACGTATGGTTAGATCTACTGAAAAATCTACCATAAACTCAATTCATATCAGCGTACATCAACTGAAATACGATAGATATTTATGAAAGATGTTCAGAACAGCAACTATTAATCCATTCCTCTTATAGGATATGAAATATAATACTTTCTCTCTCACACAGGCGCACACATACACACACACGCATTAGTTTTCTCATAGAAGTTACAAATATAATTTTATACTTTCTTTATCAAACTTACAGAAATTACAATAATTGTTAACATTTTTAATACCGATAACATAGTTCTATGTTATTTTAAATTTTTTAGTTGAATATCGGTAACGTTGTTTTACGTCATTTTTAATTTTTTTAAAACCATACCTTTGTGAGTTCTTTTTGATGTAGCATCGATCATTTAACGTATGTGCCACAAGAGGCATTTTGCAAGATTATGTTAACAAAATTCATACGAATTCATAGTAATTTGTTGTAATAAAAAATTTAATTGTATAAAAATGTATTTAATTAATCATAAATTAATTATAGATACATTTTTTTTACTTATGATTATCCCCTTCAGATTCGGCGCACGTTACTGATGATGCATTGCGATCCATTGTTGTTAGATATGTGAACATAATTTGGTACAAAAATCAGTTCTGAAAAAGTTAATCTACGTCATTTCAATATCTGTAGCTAAATATTGACAACACAGTTCTATCATATATTTGTTATAATCAAATATTTTAATAGCAGACTCTTGCTATTCAGCTATAGACTTTAGGAAATTGTATGTAGTCACGAATGTACTAATTTTATTTCATGTATAGGTAATCTCTATATTACACAATACTTCGAGTATGTTTCGCTTAATGTAGTTCGAAAAATGAAGAAACGTTAGTATAACATGATATCTTTATGAAAAGATGCACATAATTCAAAAGAGGATTTCGCAAAAGTGTTGTTCCGCATTCTGAAATATGTAAAGAATTCTTGACGCCAAGTACTAAATAAGTACAAATAACAGATATTTCTAGAAAATCAGAACGTAGAAATAAATACACTAGAGACCTAAAAATAAACACTCTTACAAAGCAGCAGAGATAATGAAGGGTGGCTTTATAATAATGAATCAATTCATGTTAGGCGTACTTCTTAATTATTTTTCCTTACTTTACAGCAGTGGAATTAATTTAGGTTTTCAATTTAAATGAGACACTCTGTATGTAAAGCATCAAGTATTTTCTCGTTAATTACGAAAGAATTCTGATTCTTCCTACGATTTGAGGATCATATATTCAGCGACTCGTTTTCAGGTCTTATAATTACTTGGAGCACTTAAAGTATTATATAGGACCTATTTTACTCATTTCAACTTATATCAATTGCATTCAACTCATCTATTTATTCTATATATCTTTGGAAACATTCATTGCAAATAGAAATATTTTTTACCATTCGTAAAAGGAATCAAACTTTTACTTTGCACATAAAATGTTAATGAAATAAATAGAAAGATTTATTTATTTTTGGTCAACTCTCAATTGAAAACAACTGAAACATCCAAAGACAATAATTTTTGTGGATTCATAAACAGAAATATATTATCTAAAATGTAGCACACCAATTCTTCGATATTTCAATTACTTAATTTTTTATAATGATTTGAAACTAATTTTGGGGAGTAAAAACAAGTTTTTGCACTTCACATGTTTGCCATTTCCATAATAATTAAAATTTCGAAAAATCCATACGTTACCTCTTAGATAATATTTCTGCTTATAAATCCGCAAAAAGTGTTGATGTTTTATTTGTTCGCAATCGAGTCGGTCAGCAATGAATTTTTACGAAAGGGGTTCCAAAGCTAGATAAAATATATAAATATAAATCAGAAGGTTACAGGAATAAACCCAGAAAAAAATCAGAAGTTCTCACTTCATAGTTATTAACAAAAAAATTCTTAAACTTTACCTATATTTAGAACATCTCTAGATGGTGTTCCCCCTTAACCAGTTAACTGCGTTTGACATGTGTACATGTCATCTTAAAGCTTGAAATGGTACTAATTCTGTCAACGATGAAGTATTTATTTTTTCAGATAAACATGTAATTCTTCTTCGTTTTGCTTTGGTTTCTCATTAAAATATATCTTAGATGCATTCGTCCTGCGTTCAATGAATATACACTGCATTATTTGATTTTACTATGCGCAAAACGAGAAATTTTCGAAACTAAATTCCACAGTTAACAGGTTAATGCAACCCTTTCCCAACGACGAATCGTCGCATCTAAATGAGACCATATGAAACTTCTAAATTAACGGCCAGATTAATTCAAAGAGAACCAACCATGTGCAATTTCCAATTTCCGTAGTTTCCCCCTTGAAAGCCGTTGCTCAATTTGCATCCGGGTCCACGGACCCGTATCGCGGATTTACAGCGTTGTTTGCGGGGAAAATGTAAAGAGGACCAGATGCTATCGATAAACCGTGCCCAAGCTTCGCCGTCCATTTTCCTCGAGACCACTTTCCCCCGTCGATTTACGCTTCTTCGCGGCGCGCCCGAAGCGAAACGTATAGAATCGATCTTCGCGCGATCGTTCGAATTGTTGCCGGCTATCGGGAACGATAAAGAAATCTACCATTAATCGGTTCAGATTAAATTAACTGATACACCGTTGAGAAGCAATTTCGTTCGTAATTACCGGGACTTAATCTACGTTTTCTGATCTAAGAATCCCGTGCTTGGTGCAAGAAAAGAAGGGTTCTTCTAAGGGAGATACCTGAAAATTCAAGGCGTTCTTGGTCTAACAATAAAGATCTTCTTGTTTCCTCGCAATAAATTGTAATTTTAGCGTCGGACTTAGTTTGGAGTAACAATTGAAAATTTATATTGTCTAATTGTTATATCTTTGCAAATGAATCCTAAGAAATGTGTAACATAAAACTTTATTTATGATGTTGAAAATCTTATCTGTTAGGTTGCTCGGAAAGTTTGGCGGATAATTTATATTGCGTTGATGCAAAACTTTTGATGTTCTTTATACGTGGTTTAGGAAAGGAAGTTTTTCTTCAGAACGAGTATATAACATCTGATTTCGAACTATTATAACGTATATAAGGGACACTTCTTTCTTCGTTTTTACTTAATTTTGGTTTAGCCAGCTAAACCAATAATTGAAAATAGTTAAAAACTTTTCATTTTATTTCTTATAGAAAAACATCAAAACTTTTGCATCAACCCAATATATTTATATTTTATACGTTAAAAATATTTGTTTGCCTTTATATTAGAAACTGTGGTCGCGAAATAGGAGGATTTTGTCATATAAA